TATTTTACTAAATTATTTTGCTACAGAGCTACAGTTTTGTTGTTTGTGTAGTGGAAGGAAACTCGTTCATGCGACACATTTGACATTTTCACTGTTTCGATGATTAAAATGTTTGTGTTTCATATAAATTCTGCACAGGAAGTGGTTTCACAAAAACTATTCTTTTCACAGCAATGATTTAGCCTTTATATTTTTTATTGACTGTATCGAATCGATTTGAAATATATCGTATTGAATTGAAAGTGCACAGTATCAAGATATGCATCGTGTAGTTGCCTATGTATCGAAATATGTATCGTATCGTTGCCCAGGTATCAAAATATGTATCGTATCGGCAAGTTCTTAATGATACCCAGCCCTATATGACAAACATGCATTCTTGAGCGTGATTGCCTCTCCATAGATCTGACCAGCAGCTTTGCCTATAGTGGCCTCACCTGACTGTCCCCAGGTAAACCGATACATTTAATGCCATATTCTGGAATTTCCAATGACAAATGATGACAGACCTATCGGTAAAGGTAAGCAGTGCACCTTTAAAGCTAAATATCAAAAATTGGTACAGAATAAATAAGTATTGAAGTAGTGTGTATTGTAACTTAAATATAGAGTAAACAGTAAAAAGTACATAAACTACCCACCCACAGAATAAGCAAAAATCATTTCCAGTCATCAGATGCAGTCAGTCTGTGTGTGTCTGTGGGGGCGGTTCATTCTTGTACGAACTTGACGATATTTCAAACTTTTTCTTTATCAGCTAAAAAGAAAGAAAAAAAAAAAATTGAGTTGACGATAGAGTTGCATAACAAAGCAACGCCTTCTTACTGTTTTAAGATGTTGCTTCATTTTGTAGTTTTGTTATGGTTTCTTACTCACTTTGGGTGGCAGCCAAACCAGTGGGTGAGGGTGAGATTTTCAAGGGCCGTATTACACAATTTTCTGATTTATGTTATAATGTTTTCTCATCACAGACATACCTGGAATTGTGTTTTGCTTGTCCATACACCTTCACTAGAATCATTTGGATGAACTACTGATCTAAAGGTAGAAGTAGCTGTTAACTTGAAAACTGCCACTTCATGACATCATAAGGTTGATCAGAGCATGTTGAACTTTGGAGATGTAGACAGACTAATAATGACGAGTTACTTAAACATGTGAGAATGACATAAAACACCACTCCAGGTCTGATTTTGAGGAGGTAACAACATTAGAACTAGTGCTGTCATGTGATTAAAAAAATTGAGAGATTAATTAATTATGATCTGTAATTAATTAATCTAATTAATCTCTTTTTAATCTCACCTAAAAATTGCTGAGAAAAGCCTTCAATTTGAGGTATTTTCATTTAAATTCATTATTACATTATTGTGGCAGATCAAAGACTGATATAGATAAAAAAAAAGTGACTTTATAAATTCATTTATTGTTTAACAAATCTCTCCAAATTGGCTGTTTAGCCCAAGTCTCCATGAATAAGAAACTGTTTGCTGTAAAGTAGCAAAGACGAGGAAATCTGAACATAATAACTTTTGTCTACTTAAAGACAATAAAAAGTCCAGTCTTTCCTTAACCATATTAAAAATATTATTGATAGAGAAATGCTTTATATATGAGATCACTGGTTTTAGTCCTTGTTTTAGTCCTGGTTTAGACCTGCTTTAGTCCTACTTTAGTCCTAGTTTAGTCCTGGAATGGGTTAGTCCTGGTTTTAGTCCTGGTGTTAGTTCTGGTTTAGTCCTGGTTTAGTCCTGGTTTAGTCCTGGTTTAGTTCTGGTTTAGTCCTGGTTTAGTCCTGGTTTAGTCCTGGTTTAGACCTGTTTAGACCTGGTTTTAGTCCTGGTGTTAGTTCTGGTTTTAGTCCTGGTTTAGACCTGGTTTTAGTTCTGGTTTTAGTTCTGGTTTAGTTCTGGACTGGGTTAGTCCCGGTTTTAGTCTTGGTGTTAGTTCTGGTTTAGAGGCTCACAGGAGGAAGCGCAGTTTACGCGAGAAAACGTATGCGGCTCACGGGAGAAACGTGGTCCGCGTGTTCTCAGGTTAATGACGATGAAGGTGTGTGTTTGTGTGTGTGTTTGTGTGTGTGTGTTTGTGTGTTTTTGTGTGCGTGTCCCCTCATGTGGCAGGTCACTATAGGACAGTAGTGCAGACATCATGAGTCTATGCAGGTTGTTTTCACCAGTGACATATAAGTTGTAGGTGATTTTATATTTGTTATTTTCTTTTATATTTCACATCAGGAGAAGAATTTCCAAGACACAAATGTGTTTTTACCTGAGCACTGCTGCCTCTGTTCTACTGGCTCTTCGACCTCGTCCACTGTGCGACTGACGCCGCCAACGTTAACATGACGTTTACATCGCTCTTACTGCGTGCGTTCTGTTTGGGTTTCTGGCAATGAGTGGAATTACCGAAAAAAAATATATATAAATGTGTTTTTGTGTGTGTGTGTTGTTGTCCCAACAACACATAAAAACAGGTTTTATAATAAAGCAACTCGCATACAGGAACAGTAAAGTTAGAGATTAAAAATGAGATTAACGCAATTAAAAAACATAATGCGCTAAATATGACTGTAATTAATTAATCGCAATTAACGCGATAATGTGACACCCCTAATTAGAACATGACTTAAAGCTCACAAGAGTCAATTTTAAGCAATATAGAACCTTTAGTTGATCGGAATAGGTCGATTTCATTGGAGATTGTTGATAGCAGCACTTCCTAAAACTCTTGTGAGAAGGTTTTGTTTGTTTATACTGACAGAGAAGACGCTGAACTTTGTGCCAGTTTTTGTTTCATGTTTATAGGCCCAGTAATTACAAAGATATGAACCATAAACCAGGTCAACAAATCTGCAATCTGACAGTTAAAGGTGCACTGTGTAGCTTTTCAGGTAGATGTTACGTGTTATTGCTTTACTTCCAATATTCCAAAATAGTGGCATTAAAATTTTCAATCTCAACAGAAACAAGCAGGAGACACCACCAGGCCAATTTACAGGTGAGGTCTGTGAAGAGGCGACCCCACTCACAGTAAGAATGCATGTTTTTAAAGGTGTTTTTGAGCAATTAAAACACCTATAATCAAATAAATGCATCTTAATACCATATTGTGGAGCATTACAGGGAAAGCAATAGCCTCTCCGTGGTAGCAGACACCCAATATGAACAGTTACGCGGTGCAGCTTTCAGTCAGAATGAACATGATTGGCCAAAAATACAAAAAAATACATGAAAACTTTTAGTCTGAAAAAGATGCAAAATGAAGCCAAAAAATACAAAATACTTACATTTATTACAACAAAAATATGATAATTTACAATACATCAAATCTTCTGTGGATGTAGACAGTGTATTCTCTGACTGGCCAAGTTGTCCAAGAAACAAAACCAACTCAAACTGAACATCAGGGGGCAGTATACGTCATAACACAATACATGCATCACGAATTTCAGACTTCCGGTCATTGCGCAATGCATACTGGGAAGGATTTTCCGAAAAAGTGAGTATCAAACCTCCATTTTTGTTTTCTCAGTGGGATGGGTCTATTGACAAAGTCTTTTCTAGTCTTTTGAACCATATGACTTTTGTTTCTGGTTCTGATATTGTTATATTTTAGTTTTGGGATTCGGACATTGTAATTGTGTGGTTGTTGGATCCTAACAGCGGAAAACGGCTCAAGAAATGTGTTTGCGAACTTCATAACTGCAAAAGGGAATCAGATGTGTGTGACTGTAAACCTCTGTTCAAACTGTTTCCCTTCCCAACGGAATTGAAAAATACTGCAAGATGAAGGCGATGGGCAGTATTGATTCACAGGAAAGACAAAAAAGGAAACTTTGACGGCCTAAATCATCCCGAGTTTGTAGTGAACATTTTGTATGTGGAGCGCCATCAAAGCAAAATCCCGATCCCTCGCTCCACCTTGGTTATGAATTTAAAAAGTCAGCTCCAAAGTGAAAGGCACCAACTGTTCACCAAGAAACACCTTCCACTGCAAAGCGACCAAGACATGATGTTGCTGTAAAACCACAAGAACAAGAAAGTGCAGCTCAGCCTGTTTGTCTTCTGCACCTCTCACTTAACAAACGGGATCCCACTTTGATTGCGCTGCACGTACAAAATGTTCAGTGCAAACTCAGGATGATTTAAGCAGTCAAAGGTTACTTTTTTGTCTTTCCTGTGTATCAAATCCTGCCCATCGCCTTCACCTTTCACTATTTTTCAATTCCGTTGGGAACAGAAACAGTTTGAACAGAGGTTTGTCACACACACCTGATTCCCTTTTGCATTTATGGAGTTCGCAAACTTCCGAACCCTATTTCTCGAGCTGTTTTCCGCTGTTAGGATCCAACAACCACACAATTACAATGTCCGAATCCCAAAACTAAAATATGACAATATCAGAACCAGAAACAAAAGTGATATGGTTTAAAAGACTAGAAAAGACTGACTTTGTCAATAGACACATCCCACTGGGAAAACAAACATGGCGATTTGATGCTCACTTTTTTGTAAAATCCTTCCCAGTATGTATTGTGCAGTGACCGGAAGTCCGAAATTCGCAATGCATCAATACAACAGAACAGTCCCATTGACAGTTACAGAGATTAGAGTCCGTTATGCACATCTTTCAAGGGTTGCCATAGCAAACAAGACACATGGTGATTTGACATAAAAATTTTATGCCAGATGCTTTTACGCCAGATGGGTGAAGTGTCTTGCCCATCTGTTTTACAAGCAATTACAACACCATACAATACTGTGTAAAGTACTCAAACAAGTTCAAAATGACAAGGCTTATTTAATGCACAAGGATGGAATTATTTAAAGAAATAAAAATACATTGGTTTATATATTTATAGTTTTGTTTTTTTATATATAGAGTTTTAATACTGGCTTGTGTTTTTTTTGTTTTGTTTTTGTTTCTATACAAAAATAAATGAAATATAGAGAGATGTATCATTGTCACTTTTGATCTCGGCCAAGGCTGCACAATACATTGCAATCAAATCAAAACTACCTCATGACATCACAAGGTGGTACAGAGCATTTTGAGCTTTGGAGATGTACACAGATTAATAATAATGTGTTTTGAGCTCTTACAATAGAAAATGTCATGTCTCATCATTGACAAAAATTCTGAATGTTGTGATGTCGTCTGCATAACCTTGATTTTTTTTTTTTCCTTTATCGTGCAGCCCTAACCCAGCCTAAAAGTAAATGTGGATTTTTGCGCCAGGTAGAGCATCTGGGTTAATTCCCTGTGTGATTACGATGGTTTTACATTTATGTCTGGGCGTGTCCGTAGGTGCCGTCCGGGGGTTTGTAGTGTTTGGGAAAGGCCAGGAGCTGAACGCTGCTGAACGCGAATCTCCTGCAGCCAATGTTCTTTTGCACGTTCTCCAGACGGCAGCCCTCTCTGGAAAATATGAAAAGTAGAACAATTAAATATCAAATCAAATATAGGGTTGGGATGAGATACAGTTTCCACAAGAATCAAACAAGATGAGATTTTGACATTGTTTGTTATAAATAAATACTGAAGTCCAGTTCCCCATTTTAGTCTCACCATTTCTGATTGACTTTATTTAATATTTCTGCTGTCATTGTAGTGGTGCTTTATGGGAATACATCTTATCGTGCCAGATTGAGCTCTGTATCACTCTGAATTGAGTTCTTGCTGAAAGAAAAAGAGACTAGCAGCAGAATCCCTCGAGATGATTAAGCAAACCACCCACCAGTTTTTTCTTTAGCAAGTCTCAGTAAGCCTGTCAAAATGACGTATCCAACTTGTGCCAGGTAAAACCAAAACAAGTATCACGCTGAAGAGGGAAGATGTTCATAATCCAAAGCCACCATCACCATCCACCACCGCCGCCATGTTTGTTTTGCTCCACGTAGGCCATAGACTGTAGATGGTGTAGGCCTGGAGCTTGGGGTTGTCATCAGTGTTGGGGAGTAACAGATTACATTTACCGGGATTACGTAATCAGAGTACAAATTATGAGTAACTGTATTCAGTTACAGTTACTGTTTCAGTGAGTGGTAATTGGATTACAGTTACTTTGTTGAAATAAATGGATTACAGGGCGGTATTTTCCGGTTTTCACATTTTGGACTAAACCAGGATTAAACCAGGACTAAACCAGGACTAAATCAGGACTAAATCAGGACTAAACCAGGTCTAAACAATATGACACCTAACAGTAGAGTGAACATAATTTAAGGCAGCAGTGATCTCATATAGAAATCATTTCTCTATCAATAATATTTTTTATACGCTTTAGTAAAGACTGGGTTTTTTATTTTCTTTTAACAGACAATTGTGTTATGATTTCCTGGTCTTTGCTTTTCTACAAACAGTGGCTTATTCATAGAGACTTGGGCTCAACAGACAATTTGAAGAGAACAAGAATTTTCAGGACGTGGTTGTTACATTCATGTAGTTTTAAAAAGCATAACAATATCAAGTAATCCAAAGTATTCAGATTACGTTACTCACTTTAAGTAATTTAACGGATTACGTTACAAACTACATTTTGGGGTATGTAATCTGTAATCTGTAAGGGAATACATTTTAAAAGTCACCTTCCCAACACTGGTTGTCATCATGTTGCCTGAAGCCCCTCCCTGTGCACATAGAAGCCCTGTGACTGGGCCGACCACTGCTCGGATCAGATTTGAAGTGAACAATGGGATCACCTCAAGATGGATTCTCGTGCAGTATGTGTTAGTATTAGCTGCTAGCACATACCACATTAAGATCACCATGTTACCTTTTATTGTTTGCAGAGTATCCCCAAGTTTGACTACCTGAAATTTGAGACCTTTTTAAGACCACTTAAATGAAAATTAAGACCAACATCGCACCCATTACGCAGGCGAAAAACACCAGATCCAATTCTAATAATAACCAACCAACTACAGTACTACATCTAGAATCTAAGATCCACTGTGGGTTAAACCTACACTTCCCCAGGATCCATCCAGTGTCTTCCTCCACTAAACTGATTATTTACTCATTGCCACCGATGCCAGAAACCAGAGTATTGTTTGAGCATACTCCAAATTAGACGTTCATTCGCGTTACAAGATTTCACGTTGTTGTTGTTTTTTCCTGCCTCCATTTAACATTGCACTACAGCTCAATTAAGTAAACAAAATAATAGGCTAATGAAATTTAAGCCCTTTGTACTTGGACAACATAATTTAAGACTTTTTAAGGCCTTAATTTAGGAACATGAAATTTAAGACCTTTTTAAGTCTTGTAAGACCCTGCGGCTACCTTGTGTTTGGAAAATGCTGTATTCACCAAAAACAAAATATGCTGAATAAGTAAATCTCTTTTGCGCCCCATAATCAGTTACTCCCCCTTCAGAGCACAATCACAACACAATCAGCGTGCATGAAACTGCTGCACATCACATCCGGTTTGTTAAGTTGCTGTGTACAGTTTTGTGTCATGTTTTTGTATCTGGAGAACTGTAGCATGGGGATGTTTGTTATGAGGAAACAACATTCTGGGAGCATGGGTGATGTAGGCTTGTGGGCGGAGCCTTGCACTGAATCTTACAGCTAACAGTAAGGAGGGTTTGAATAGGGTCCAGGAGAGATTACTAAATGACTCAAACATGCATTGAGGACATCTAAAACGTCTTCAGGCATGTTTGTGATGAGAAAACAATATTACAACATGATAGGAAACTGAAAATACTTTAAAATAAAAGGTACCACTGCCACTTGTTTTGCTGTTTTGCCTTAAATTTTCCACAATATGACAAATCTATCTTGGATTTATATGTGTTTTAACGGCTAATCTGCCTCTCCACAGATCTGACCTTCAACACTGTGGATTCATTCATCTTTAAAGGACCCACAATACTTCCTCTTTAAATGGATCTATTTTACATTTCTTCAATGACAGATGTTTTGTTAAAAAAATACAGTAACAATAAACGCTACATATTTAGTCAGATCCATGGACATAAACAGTTTACTGACCCTCTACCAAAAAAGTTACATAGTGAGCCTTTAATTTGCAAAATAGAAAGTCAAAGTAAACATACAAAGATTGAAGAGAAAATGGACAAAGCTGAGAAAAAGTCTTGTGGTCACTGATATTTGGAGAGCAGCACCACCACACTGAAGATGAGCCAGAGCACCAAGACGTGAGAGGAGACCAGGAGCAGGGCCACTGGGTACAGGTGCATTCTGGGAGCTTTAGGAGCCAGGCACCGCGGCAAGACCCAGACCGCGTGGAGCTCTGCGGGGGGAGGACCGGCCGAGTCTGACCCAGAGACAGTGAGCCCCGAGCGGGAATAACAGCCCAGCAACTGCCCCCAAGACCGTTGACACCTGGAGGACCAACAGCGACGAACCAAAGCAGGTACAGAAGCAGGAGGAGCATTGTGGGTAATATAGGGACAGGATAATAAAAAGGTTTGCGTGTAGAAGAAGGAGGAAGGAGAGAAATAAATTAAAAAAAACGGAATTAACGTAAAGGCGTTCCACACATTAAAGGTTCTAGTTTATGGAAAATTGCGTTTAAGTCGTCTTATAATGTTGTTTCCTCATCAAAAATCTATCTGGAGTTGAGTTTTGTTTCATTCACACATGTTTAACACACAAATGCTGCATATTTAGGCTGAGTTCTTCTCTGTTCCACTTTATGATGTCATGTGGTAATACGAGAAGTGCTCCATACACCTTCGCTAGAATCATAAGTTCAACCCTGGAATTGCAAATCTCTGCTCATTTAAAGCTTAAAGGTAGATAGTAACTTAAAAACTACAACTTCGTGACATCACAAGTTGGAACAAAGAACTTTGAGCCTTGGAGATGCAGGCAGACTAATAATAAAGGATTACTCAACCGTGAATGAAACAAAACACAACCCCAGGTATGTTTTTTGAGGAGGTAACAACATATTTAAGAGTCAATTTTGCATAATATAGGACCTTCCAACTATCACTTGCACACACTACATTCATACAGATTCATATTGTGTCTTGCCCAAGGATACAAACACAGTACGAGTCACTGTTTGTGCTGTTCATTGTGATGTGTGCGTGGTGCAGTACCTCCTCATGGCGTCCAGGGCGGCGCTGAAGTGCTCTGGCTGCAGTCCGTGTCTCTCTCTCAGAAGAACGCACTGCTCCAGGGTCACAGACATGGCCGTCCGATCTTTGGCGCTTTTACAGCTGGTCAGACGAAGACCGCGCACTCTCCTACACACCTATAGACAACACAAGAATGATCAGCTGGAAATCTGACACTTGCAGCAAAATGAATAAACAAACACTGGAGAAGTTTGTATTTATTTTTGTCTTTTTTGTCAAATGTCTCGTACAAAAATATTAATAACCAGGATACTCAAAAAACCTGATCATAACCAGGACTGTTTTTTTAATACATTTTCACAGTAATCAGTAGTACCTTACCGTAGCAGCCAGCCACAAAACTTCCACATTCTTCCTCTTTCTGGTTTGTACACAAGAGTCCAGTGCAGATAATAACTCTGGAAGTGTTTCTAAGTTGGCTGAAGTGAAGAGGAGAAATAAGAGACGTTTACTGAGATAGAAAAAAGTGTTTGTTCAATATAGTTAGGTGTATTTATTTAAAAGGTACGCAAAATAGACTCTTCAGCTTTAAGTCACATTATAATGTTGTTTGCTTATCAAAAACAGACCTGGAGTTGTGTTTTGTTTCATTCACACATGTTTGAGTAACACTTTATTGTTAGTTTGTCTACATCTCCTAAACTCAAAATGCTCTGTTCCACCTTGTGATGTCACGAAGTGGTAGTTTTCAAGTTAACAGCTACCTTTTACTTTTAGTTCAGTAGAGATTGGCCATTTCAGGTCTGACATCATCCAAATGATTCTAGTGAAGTTGTATGAAATTTAAAAACACAGTGGAGAACTTCCTTTATTACCACATGACATCACAAGGTGGAACAGTTTTTTCTGATTGAGAGAAGACCTCGAGGAGAAATATGCAGGGTTTGTGTGTTAAACATGTGTGAATGAAACAAAACACAACTCCAGGTCTGTTTGTGATGAGGAAACAACATTATAACACTGATCAGAAAATAGTGTAATATGGGCTCTTTAACTGAACCTATTTGTGGCAGCTTTTCTTGCAGTTGGTTGCAATACGCTCTGAGTCGATCACAGCTCTCCTGGTTCAGAATCTCCTGAAGTGAACTGTCTCCAAATCTGGAAATTAAAAAAAAAGATAACACAGGAAGTGCTCCACATTCTTTTTAAACACCATACAGCTTCACTAATTTGTTAGTGAAGGTGTATGGAGTTTAATGTTAATTCACACATTTAGATCATTTCAGGCCTTGAATTGCCAATGTCTACTGAACTAAATGTTAAAGTAGCTGTTAACTTGAAAACTACCACTTAATGACATCACAAGGTGGAATGGAGCATTTATAGCTTTGGAGGTTTGAACATACTAAAAGTAAAGAATTACTGAAACATGTGTGAATGAAACAAAATACAACTCCTGGTTTGTTTTTGAGGACGTAACAACATTATAACATGACTAAAAGTCAGTTTGGGTTATACTGGACATTTAACTATTGACTCTTTCTAATGTGAAATATTGTGTGGATTGGTGTGGTTTTACCTCTCAGCGAGGCTCTGCTGTTGGTTGATGCCAATGTTGAAGAAAACTGGGTGCAGTTGTATCAGATGCCCTTCCCTCAGCTCCTGTGGTAGAGATGAGAAGTTCTCTGGAGGCAACGGAACATTAACCACCAAACTCTCCCTAAAATTACACAGCAAAATAAGACAATAAACAGCCTGTATATTGTATTTTCATCCATTTGTGCAACCTTTGCTCTGGAATTGCATGAAGGGTAACTTAAAGGGCCCATATTAATATACTTTATATATTTTCCCAACTCCATACACGTTCACTAGAATCATTTGGATAATTTCAGAGCTGGAATTGCCAGTCTTTACTGAACTAAATGTAAAAGTAGCTGTTAACGTGAAAGTGAAACAGAGCATTTTGGGAGATGTAGACAGACTAATAATAAAGGGTTAGTCAAACGTGTGTGAATGAAACAAAAGACAACTTCAGGCATATTTTTTTAATCAGATAACACAGTTTAAAAAACTCTCAAGAGTCAAGTTTGCATAATATAGGGACAGTAAAGTTGTACTGTGTAATTTTTTAGGTAGAGGGTCTGTCTCCACATATATAAAATATATAAATATATATATATATATATATATATATATATATATATATATATATATAATATATATATATATATATATATATATATATATATATATATATATATATATATATTATATTTTTTACCTCAAATGTTTTACAGAATGTAATTAAACCTATTTATCACTGGTTTATTGCCATATTGTACTTTTAAAATGACTGGACTCAAAGCATGGGCCTGTCACAACCTTGCATATTTTCATAACTTGCTCACCATGTGCCGGTCAGTGTGGGCAGGAGGTCGTCTGATTGGTCACTTTTTCCTTCAGTCAAAACAAACTTCACTTTGTGGAGTTCGGCCACACCCACCTCCATATCCTCGAGCATGCCCAGTTCATCTCCTGAGGAAACCAAATTATACATTTAATTTGTATTTAGTAGTAGTAGTAGTAGTAGTAGCAGTAGCAGTAGTAGTAGTAATATTTATACCATAAGTGCTAAGTAGACCCTCAAACTGAGCCAGGATCCCAACCCTGTGGAGCTGTTGCAGGAAATTGACATCTTCTAACTCATCGTGCAGTTTCAAAATAAAAGCACACGTGACTGCAGTGATCTGAAAGATAGAAACACAAACAGCTCAAGGCACCATTTTAAATAAATACAAATGTGTTAAATATTCACACTATCTCATCTCTCTGCCTTCAGCACATATCAGGCTAAAGGCAAGAGGCTCTGTTCCACCGTGTGATGTCATGTGGTAATACAGGAATTGCTCCACAAAACCTTTCACAAGGTGGAACAGAACATTTTGAGCTTTGGAGATGTAGACACTAATAATAAAGGGTTACTCAAACGTGTGTAAATGAAACAAAACAGCTCCAGGTATTTTTTTTTTGAGGAGGTAACAACATTATAACGTAGTTTAAAGATCACAAAAGTATAGGACCTTTAATTATTCTTTGTATCTCACCGCTTGGCTGAAGACTGCGTGGTGTCTCTGTACCAGCTGCTCTGAGCCCTGTCCCACTGTGGCCGCTGCTGCCCCCTGGAGGAGCACAAACGTCATGGCAGTGTGGGCTTTGGACGCTGCCTCTCGAACGCAGTCCCTCAACGTCACCACCAGGGGAAGCAACTGTTCCTGCCACGACATTGAAGAGGAAGGAGAGGAGCCTGTGGAAATCAGATTATTTTAACCCATTTGAGTATATCAACGCATTCATGAAATACACTGATTGCACTAAAAGGTCCTATATAACACAAAATTGACTCTTGTGAGCTTTAAGACATGTTAGAATACTATAACCTCCTCAAAAACATACCTGGAGTTGTGTTTTGTGTCATTCACATATATCTGAGTAACCCTTTATTATTAGTCTGTCTACGTTCATCCTTGTGATGTTATGAAGTGGTATTTTTCAACTAGTTTTACCAGCAGAGATTGGCAATTCCAGGGCTGAAATCATTCAAATGATTCTAGTGAAGGTGTTTGGAGTTGAAAAACACAATGGAGCACTTCCTGTATCTCCACATGACATCACAAGGTGGAACAGACTGTCTTCTGTTTGAGAGAAGACCTGAGAGTTTGTGTGTTAAACATGTGTGAATGAAACAAAACACTACCCCAGGTATGTTTATGATGACAAAACTACATTATAACATAGATCAGAAAATAGCATAATATGGGTCCTTTAAATTTGATCAAATTAGAATATCTAAACCGGGGTCTCCAGTCTGTCGCTTGGGAGTTACCAGTAGCTCTCCACCAACTTCAAAAGTAGCTCACCAAAGGATATCTAAATTTTATGTATAAATGTATAATTTTGATACCCAACTTTGTGCACTGATAAATGGATAATGGTTTATGTTTTATAGGCATCTAACTGTTCCCCATCTAAGGCTCGCTGCGGCTCTTCTATATACTCAGTTTCTTTGGGACTGCAAAAATAGGTAGCTCTCTGGCAATTTTATTTTGTAAAAGTAGCTCACTGGAGGAAAAAACGTTGGCGACCTCTGATCTAAACTCTCACCGGAGTTGTGGGGGTTTGTGTCCTGTGGATCAGATGTTTTTGAACTCTCCTGTTTCTCTTTGAGTCGATCCACCATCGCGATAATGCAGTTTAGGCTTTTCCCAACGTTTGCCCACACAGTGTCCTGGACAAAAAGAAATCATGAAAACAAAAAAAGAAAAACATAAAAAAAGAAAACAACAGAAGAATTTGAAATGTTTACTTGTGATATATTTAGGCCAATGAGATTAAAAGCTTTTTTTGTGGAGGGTTCGTCAAATGCTTTATTCATGGCGATATTATTGGTTTGTCTGGAATGTTTCACAATATGGCATTAAAACTTTCTATCTTCATGTAGACCAAACCAGAAGTTACAGGTCAGATCTGTGGAGAGGCAACCCACTCACAGCCAGAATGCCTGTTTTTCTAGGGATTTCTGAGCAGTAAAATCAGCTGTAAATGAATAAATGTAAAGAAGAGCTGTTTAATATCACACTGCGGAACATTCCAGGCAAAGCAATGACATCTCCATAGAAACAAACAGGTATCTGACAAAAATATTCTATGCCCCAGTGCAGAAATATGTTATAAACAGCTCTTGAGGTCAAAATGAGTCCTCTGTGTATTGTCTGCATTTAATTCTAAAGTGTTTTTTATTCTCCAGAAACTAGGATGTGCACTGTCAGCATGCTATTGTCTGTTAGATTTACCATCGCATCTCTGAAAGTTACTTAGAAACTGACTTTGGACCACTGTTTAAAATGAACTAAAACTTGTATAACTAGCCCTTACCCACTCCTCTGCGTCGTACTCCTCCTCCGCCCGGGTCAGCTCCAGTAGGCCCTCTGATGCCCGTCTCTCCTGATTGGCTGAGGTGTTGCCGGGCGGAGTTCCGTTGCAGGTGTAGAGGCAGCGGGCGGCGGTGTGTCTGTGTTCAGCCACAAGAGCTCCTTTCACCAGCTCATCTTTGAGAGCGTGGACAAACTCCTCTGTCTGGAAAGAAGTAAAAATCTTAGTAATACTCGTCGATATAGTTTGACCCGGTTTATGGTTCAAATCTCTGCAATCAGTGTTCCTATCCACATGAAACAAAAGCTGACACAAAGTTCAGTGTCAGCACAAGTGAACAAAAGAGAATTTTTATTTTTTGCCAGTAGCTTCAGAAAGTGGGTTGACAGTAGCTCAGTTAGTCAGAGTGTTTGTCCACTGATCCGATCAAACATCTCTGGTTGAGCGGTCACATCCACTGACCCACAGTTAGGTGGTGTGATTCCAGCTCCCACAGATGAATGCTGTTGTTGTGTCCTTAGGCAAGACCCTTAAACTACCTCACCCTGTTGTTCCTTGTTATAAAACGCTTTGAGTGCCTTGAAGGTAGAAAAGAGAGCTATATAAAAATATTCAACCCCAAAGTCCCAATTTGTCAATTTGAAAGAACTTGAAGTCATATCATTTATATGGCACATTTATGTACCGTATTTTCTGGGCTATTGGGTGCGCTCTTAAACCTCCAACTCCATCCAAAACATGACTGCGCGCCACAATCCAGAGCGCCCTATACACGAATCCACACGGGTGTCTCAGCACGACTTCAGTAAACTACAAAGCTGCACCACCCATAGCGCACGCAAATATGCACGGAGCAGACAGAGACCACGCAGCGACGAACACCCGCAGACACACTCATCACTCCACGCAGACGAGGAACGGAACGGAGGAACGAACCGAAAAAGTGAGTGCAATGTGCCACTTCTAGCCACAACTGAACAACTGAGTCACTGCAAACACGCCGACAATCCAGCGGTCCCAGACAGCACCCTCCCTACATGCCACAACTGAACAAAGCCCAGAGTCACTGTGAACGCCACAAACAAACAAAACCACTCACCCATCCGACTGTTGTGTTTCATTTAAAGTCCAGTGCAGTTTATTTGTGAAAAAATTCTAAAACAGACCATTCTATGACAGTGCGCCTTATAATCCAGAGCGCCTAATAGTGCATAAAATACGGTAGTAATGACAAGGTTCAACATGTGTGGATTATACATTTGGAGATTTCTTTCAAAAACAGTGAATTTGCCACAGAATTTTACAGGACCCTCTCCTCCATCTGAAGATCTAATTCTAGTATGTAAATGCAACCTGTTGGACCAAAAATGTTTTCATACAAAGGAAAAGTTGGCAATGTGTCTTACTCAAAGACATGCGGCAACATACACTTAGTTGGAGTTGTGTATTTGTCACACTTAAAACTTCTCTCCATGAAGCCAAGCAGCTCACAATAATTATATGTTTTTCAATGTTTGATTGATTGATCATTAAGTTGTTTGTCATACTGTGAAACATTTCAGGAATTTAAAGCGTGACTAGAAAAGTTACATAGAGAGGCTTAAAAGGTGTAGTGTAACTGGTGGAGGGTCTGTCAAATACTTTTCTTCATGGAGATGTTATTGGTTTGTCTGGATTGTTTCACAGTGTGGCATTAAGCCTTTCTATCTTTGTGGAGACCAAACCAGAACAATTTACAGGTGAGATCTGTGGAGAGGCGACCCCGCTCACAGTCAGAATGCCTGCTTTTCTAGGTATTTTTGAGCAATAAAACCACCTTTATCAATAAATGTAAAGTCGAGCTGTTTAATGTCATACTGTGGAACATTCCAGGTAGAAACAAGCAGGTGACAGACCCCTAATGAAAAAGTTACATGTGTGAAAAGGAATACATGATTTGAGCCAAAAGTGAACACAAAATTCCAACAGAGGGCGCAGGACTTCACCTGTTTGGCCAGAGCGTCTAGGACCTTCTGTAGCCTCACAGTGTTGACCTTCACAGACAGGGCCAGCAGCTCCTCGGCCAGTCCAAAAATGACAGGCTGTAATCGGGCAACCTCCTCCAGCACTCCCCTGGCCCTGGATCTCTCCTCCTGGGAGTATGACACAGGGCTGCACACACAAAATACACAAATACAAAAGTTTAGTATTTTGTAGTGAAAAATACAGGCTGGATTTTCAATTTGTAGACTTTAAATAATGTCTTGGAAATATCTCAAAGCTTTAAAGGTACACTTGTTTGGTACAGAGTCATCTGCTTGTCTCTGTGGTATTACTATATTATTGCTTTGTCTGGAATGTTCCTCATAGCATTAAACATATATTTCTCCATGATGACAAGCCAAGTTAAAAGTCAGATCTGTGGAGAGGCCCACATAATGCATGTTTTAAAGGTATTTCTGAGCATTAAAGACAGAAGTAATTGAATAAATACAAGTAGGTTATACATGTATAATGGGGAAGATTCCAGGCAAAGTAGTAACTTATAGATACATCGCAATGACAGCACGCTGACGGAGACCTACATGTATCTCTATGGTGGAATGTTATCATGGTGACACAACACAGACATTAGCAAAGGTGTCTAAAAACTGAATAAAAATATAAAATGGTTTTAAACAGCACATTTTCTGGAGCCTGTGATCAATACGAGTGTTCATGGCCCTGTTTAGGAGTTTGATTTTCAGATTTTGTTTGAACAAAGCTCAGATTAAAGTCTAACTTTAGTAACAGAAGTTCAGACAGGGCAGTGTTTCCAGTTTTACATCACAGCCACAAGGAATCTTGACAATATCAGCTGCAAAGTGTCAATTTATGGACACTTAGCATGTGACGAACCCTCCACCAGAAAAATTACTTAGCGTACCTTTAAAAGACCAAAAACAGTCAACGTTGCATCATGAAGATGGTTTGATTATTACACTAACATTAGATGACATTAGATGATAAAAACAAAGAGAAGACTAAAATAAAAATGTGTCATTAACCTCAGGGCTGAGTCATAAACCTGTTAAACTGACTCCCTGATGGGAAACTTCTTTGATATAATTACTGTTGTCTTAATTACTCGCTCTAAACATGTGGTTTAGTTTGATTATATTGCTATTTTAAGCTGCACATTGGAAACAAAACATCTGACTACACATTGTATTCTAGAAAATAAACTTGGGTTGCTTAATTTTGTTGGAGACAACTATATGAATGCAAATTGGCTGCATTAAAGGTGCATAACTTTTCTAGTCGAGGTTTTCAGGTGTTTTTATTACCTGTCCCCATTAGAAATATTAAAAGGCATTGTACCTGATTTTTTTGTCTTAAAAACATTTGCAGTGGTCCAAAGTTATTCCTCACTTACCTTCTGCATTCAGAGCATCCTAATTATTCACCACAATGACCATACAAAAGTAGATGTACGTAAGTGGCTGTAAATATTCATGCAAAATCTACGAGGACAACCACGGTGCTATAGCTTTAGCGAAGAATCCTGTACATAGACAATGCTGTAAACATGTGGATATTAAATACCATTATGTGAGGTCCATGTTAAATGAAGGCAGAATAAACCTGGAGTATGATCCCACCAATGAGATGGTTGCAGATATAATGTCCAAATCAGCTATCAGACTTAAGCTGTTAAACTTTGTTTGTTTAGTGCACTACAAAATATATGTTATTGGTGCATGAGCCTGGCTGTGTTTGTATCTAAATGTATTTTTCAAATGTGAGTAAGTGAGGGCGTTAAGATGTGCTCTTGTTTTGTTATTATGTGACAATAATCCCCACATGATTGTAGTGTGTCTTTTTGTGATCATGTGATCGAAAAAATTCTGAATAGCCTGCACGTGTGTACAAATAAACGAAGTGCACGTGAGGATTTGGGGTGTGCACACAAGAGAGTAAATGTGTTCAACTGTGTTTAAATGATCATGTTAAACGCTGTGTAGAGGAGACCCTGCTAACACTCTCAGAGACCAGAGCTAACAACAACTAGCATGCTAACAGCACACTTCCTGATTCTTGGGACAATTTATAATTAGCTGCAAACAGTAGAGAGCAGGTTTATTTTGACCTCAAGCTTCTTATACAATATATCTGTACTGGGGCAAGACACATTTTGCTCCAATACATGCAGTAAAAACAGAGCAGAAATAACATAGAAACCTTTTACTATAATCCTCATTTATCTAACTACAACTCAAGTTCAAATTCTGGTCCACCTTTAACTTTCACGTATCGAGCCTGATTGATTGGACATAGAGCTTTGTGCATTATTAATCTGAGGCCATCTCCTCTAATCCACAAAGAGCACAGATTACAGGATTAACCCACGAACAAGAGTTACTGGAGCAGAACACAAGACCAGAATAACTATATGAAATATATTAGAGTCAAAACACACCTGTTCATGTGAAGTTTAACAATCTGGGAATATGAGTGACAGGCGATGGCCTCTGGGGGAAAGTGTTCAGTTCAGGTTTTGCTTGCTTACTGTGAATTTATGACTCCCAATGTAAAGCTCTGCTAATATGCATGCCCAGGTACTTCTGGTATGACTCCAAAAATACTTGATCACATATGTATAAAATCTTGTCTGAAGTGCACTAAATGATGAGAGATTACTATGGTACATTTTGCTGGACTGACATACTCCATCTGACTACTGCATGTTCTTATTTTGGAGGACATTCTGTTCTCTGCTGGACTGAATCTGTCAGTCAACCAGACTCATCAGCAAAAAAGGCAATACGAGTGCCTTGTCTAATGTATGAATGTAGGTCGTTTATAAAACTTAAAAACAGTAATGGTCCGAGTACAGTACCCTGCGGGCCTCCAAAATCCACCTCTGCTGTTTCTGAGGTAATTCCATTTTGGGCTACCCACATGTGACGGCTGCACAACATTATCCAGGAAAGAATGGCAAATAGCAAAAGTAGTAACAGTAGGGGTGCTGCAGTAGTAGTAGTATTAGTTGAAGTAATAATAATAGCAGTAGTAGTCCAATCTAATCCACTTGCACAATACAAATATAAAATAAAGCTGTATTTAAGTCCACTAATCCTCACTACAGCAATATAAACGTAAATAAAAATTACAGTATATATAGGAAAAAAGTATAAATAGTAGTAGTACTCACCCGTTCACGATGAGTCTGGACAGCAACCTCCTCAACCCTCCCTGTCTAAAGCCCTGGTGATGGTCGGCTGGAGCTCCAAATGTGGTCACGTCGTACCAAACTCCTGAAATTATAAATATTATTATTACCCAGGAATGAGACACAGATGAGGCTGAACTCGTGGGTCTGAACAAAACATGAGAAATAGTTTGTTTTTTACCTGCACAGTCGGGGCTGGTCACCTCCATCCTTTGAGAGTGGAGGTTTGTGGGGACGAACTGCAGGTGGCGCTCTGACTTACTGCTGCTCGCTTTAAAATTAGACGATGCTGTGATGAAGAAAACATGTTTTGGTTGGTGCCTTTTTGACAGGTTCAGTTGTGATTGCAGCTTTAAAGCAAATTATTATCGTGTTGATCACAGGCTCCAAAAAATATGCTGTTTAAATCCATTTTGTATTTTTTCTTGAGTTTTCAAACTGTCTTAAACAAAAACTTGTGTTTGTTAATGTGTGTATTCTATGGTAAGAGCTGAACATTCCGCCATATAGACACATGTAGAACTCCCCAGCGTGATGTCATGGCAAAACATCAATAATTTTTTTGTAAATAAGTGCATTTCTGACCTGACAGAGTTTCCAGTTGTTGGAGTGTTTCCTGGTAACAGCAGGTCATGTGGTCACAGCGGCTGATGATGTCACACCGGAGCTGCTCTAGGTGAAGGTGAAAGGTCACGCAGATCCACGACCTCCTGAGCCCTAAAACCACAGAGGAAAGACTGTAAAGAGCACGACTACTACTACTAAATACTTTTCACCAGCCGACTGTAATAAAACCCATTCAGATAAATGATCAGCGGTAAAATGAAGACTGCATACATGTGCTGTCTGGAATTTGGTGCCTCATCTTTTTAATCGCATGTACCCAGTGCACTCGGAGTTGTGCGTCAGTGAGGAAATGATCAAAACTGAGGCATGGTTGTAATTGTTGATTAGCCAAACATAATGCAACACTACATAGATGAAGAAAACGGGGCCATATTCTCATTTTTCCTAGATTTTGTCAAACTTACTTCGGCAAACAGAGCCCGCCGGAAGTTGTCATCGCATGTTTCCAAACGTCTTCCTGGTTTGTGACGTAAGAGTGAATAGAGACTATTGTTAGCCTAAGCCTGTGAGCAATATGAGCGCTCATGGTTCTGTTTCGGAGTTCGATTTTCAACAAAAAGTTGAGAGTGACTAAATGAAAGTTAATGTTATTCGAGAAGGACTTGTTTAAGATCACAAATTAGCTCACCTGTTGTAGTCCTAAATCCAGTCTTTCTGGTCAGATTGTGTTCAAATAAAGGTCAGATTATTACAAGGCCTCAGATAGAGCAGTGTTGACAATTAGAATCATATCTCAAGGGAATGTTGATGACATCAGATGCATAGTATAAATCAATATACTAGGAATGGGACAAGATATACAGGGTTCCCACTGTTTTTCACTGACAAAATTTAAAAACCGTTCCATGACTTTTTCATGACCTAAAGTGAATTTTCCAAGACTTTACAGCACCGTGCATGTGTAGAATTTAGCGTACCTTTGGGGATAAATATGAAATGTTTGTCATTGTGTTTTTATATCTGTTTATTTTTCATAATGCAGATGAATGAAATGTGAAATGTGAGACCTGCCTCTCAAATCAGCAAAACAAATTTACCTATGGGTATGAATAAAGCAACCTAACATAACCTAATATTAACCTCACCTTATGGTTTGGTATTATAGTCTTTTAACATTCAAAATCCTGTCAGTGCATTTATTGTCATCTCTTTTAAACAAAAAGCGCAGACGTTCGGAAATAATCATAATAACTTAACAGAGCGCTGTAGTTGCGTGAAAGAGATACTAAAATTCCATGACTTTTCCAGTCTTGGAAAATGACATTTTCATGACTGTGGAAACCCTGGATTTATTTTTGCTTATTTCATCCTTAGATAAATACCATATAATCTGAATAATTTCTCAACCCCACTTTGTAGTTCTACTTAAGTTAATTTGAAGTACTGTTTTGGTTACTTTACCCACCTCTTCCTGTACTCCAGACTAAGCATGCTCAGTAGCTGTCTGGGCAGAGAGAAGGACAGAGGAGTCTCGGACATCTGCTCCCGAACCAGCAGCCATCTTTGGTCCTGAGCAGCAAATCTGTACAGCTTACACACCGAGCAGCACAGCACTGAAGAGACAGGGAGGAGAGAGAGAGAGGAGAAAGAAGAGAGGGAGAAAGAGAGGAGAGAGAGGGAAACAGATTTAATAATATCAAATTGAAATTTCATGACTCTATTTTCTGATCTATGTTAAAATGCTGTTTCCTCATCACAAATATACCCGGAGTTGTGTTTTGTTTCATTTACACAAACTAGACTGAGTTCTTCTCTCAAAAACACTCTGTTCCACCTCTGTACACCTTCACTTGAATCATTTCAGACCTGGAATTGCCGATCTCTACTGAACAAAAGGTAAAATGTCGCTGTTAACTTGAAAACTACCGCTTCATGACATTACAAGGTGGATCAAAGCATTCTGAGCTTTCGAGAAGTAGACAGACTAATAATAATAAATGATTAATCAAACATGAGTGAATGAACACAACTTTAGGTCTCTTCAGGTCTGTTTTTGTGGCGGTAGAAGCATTATAACACGGCTTAAATCACAAGAATTAATTTTTGCATAATGTAGAACCTTTAAAACACAGAAATATGAACTGCTAAACTAATGCAGTAGTAGTAGTAGTAGTAGTAGTGCTTGTACCTGCTCTCATGAGTGGGCTGTGCTCCTTATCGTGAACAGAGCCGTGGAGACAGTCACACAGAACCTGGAAAAAACAGAAGTGAAATTTAGAGCCGAATACAATGGTGCTCTGAACCACAGAACACATGACCCGTTTATTTTTACTTTACTGTCACACTTTTTAGTTTTTGTACGCCTTAACTTCAGTACTTCCTGTAAAACTGATCTTGTCTTAAAAATACCTCAAAGAAAGTCGGCATAACATTCTGACGAGAAGCTGACATGAGAATACCAGTGAACGAAACTAATACTGCTAAGATACTAATAAAGGGAACCGTTTGTATCAAGCTAAAAATAATTCTAGATAAACCAGAAGTAAAGCGGGATTAAATCAGAACTAGACCAGATCTTACTCAGAACTAGACCAGAACTAAACCAAGACTAAAGCAGAACTACTAGACCAGAAGTAAACCAGGACAAGATCAAAACTAAACCAAGACCAGACCAGAACTAAACCAGAACTACTAGAAGAGAACTAAACCAGGACAAGACCAAAACTAAACAAGAACTAAACCAGGACTAGACCAACACTAAAGCAGAACCCCTAGACCAGAACTAAATCACGACAAGAGCAAAACTAAACCAGGACTAGACCAGAACTGAACCAGAACTAAACCAGGACTAATTCAGAACTAAATCAGGACAAGACCAAAACTAAACAAGAAATAAACCAGGACTAGACCAGAACTACAAGACCAAAACTAAACCAGGACAAGATCAAAACTAAACCATAACTAAACCAGGACTAGACCAAACCTAAACCAGAACTACTAGACCAGAACTAAACCAGGACAAGACCAAAACTAAACCACAGCTAAAGTAGGACTAGACCACAACTAAACCACCTAAACCAGATCTAAATCAGGACAAGACCAAAACTGAACCAGGACAAGACCAAAACCAAACAAGGACTAGACCAGACCTTACCCAGGACAACACCAAAACTAAACCACAACTAAAGTAGGACTAGACCACAACTAAACCAGGACTAGACCAGACCTAAACCAGAACTAAACCAGGACAAGACCAAAACTGAACTAGGATAAGACCAAAACTAAACCAGAACTACTAGACCAAAACTAAACCACAACTAAAGCAGGACTAGACCACAACTAAACCAAGACTAGACCAGACCAAATATCAGGGTGACCACATTTTCAAAATCAAAAACTGGGACACTCCCGGTTTGGGGTGGTTGGTAATAATAACATTGTGAAACGAGTGCGTAATTAAGAAAAAACTCGGCTCATCCATGTCTAATATCTGAGTCAGTGATAGTCATATTTTCTTTGTGTTTTGATCATTTTTAAGCATCTTTTCTGTATTTGATCAAAACAAGTGACAATTTATGCCTCTCTTTATTGTTGGCAGGTATCAAATTGGTCACAAATAGGGACACTTGGGACATTTCTTATATAAAACTGGGACAAATCGATGATTTTGGATAAATCTGCTGGGACAGAGGACACAGGGCTCAAAACTGGGACTGTCGAGGCTAAATACGTCTGGTCACCCTACCAAATATGCAAGATTACTGAAATGTGTGCAAATAAAACTATAGATGGTTTTGATCACTATTATAATTTGGTTGAAAAATTTCTTTAAAAAATACGGTTAATTAAACCGTAATTTTTGCATACAAAAAAACTTCTTGGTTGCCAGAAGAGGGCGCACTGTGGGGCGTAGCAGAGCAGTTCAAACTAGGCTAAAAGCGATAGCAGCAAAGTCAGATGGTGATGTTGAAACATATTTTCTGGAAGACCACCTGATGACATCACATAGTGGAATTTTCTTTTTCAGCTTAAAAGACTCAACAAAATACTGTATGTTGGATCATTCGAGTATACGTAAAAAAACAAAAAAAAAAAAAAACAAAATAGGACCTTTAAGTATAGAAAAGCAGGGGGCGCAAAGACTAGATGGGTTTACCCTGTTTTCTGAAGTGGTTTTGTCGTCCGTCTCTGCCTCCATCTCATACTCCGACACTTTCACCTCCCCCACCTCACTGACGCCATCTACAGGCCTGGAAGAAAATAACACACAGACTCAGAACATAAGCAGATCTCAGTTAAACTGTTGATTAATGATGAATTAATTTAGGTGTATTATTCTGTGTAAGCTTCCTGGTGTGGGATCCATCATCTACTGGTCTACACGGACTAGTTTGTCTCAAATGTTCCACAGTACGGCATTAAAAATAGGTTTGTTTTCATTGTTTAATTTATTTATAAAACTAAATCAAAACTATAATAGGAGTAGACCAGAAATAACCAGCACTAGGCTAGAACTGAAGCACGACTAAACCAGGACTAGACCAGAACTAAACCAAAACTAAACCAAGAATAGACGAGATCTAAACCAGGAATAGGCCAGGAACAAACCAAGCCTGCATTAGGACTAAACTGGGATCAAACCAGGACTAAACTAGGTCAAGTTAACTACTACTACTTAAGTTCTGCA